TCTTTTCCTCCACGTACCTTCACTTTGAAGATTAAGATGATTCATATGCTCAGTTTAAAAGCATTATATAAGGCGTTGTGAGAATAATCTATATGTTCATACAACAGCACTAAGCTAGGAAATGCTGCTCACACACAACATCATCCCTTCACTAAAAATAATTCAACAATATAACACATAATGTTAAACATAATCATGACCTTTTTTGCACTGTGAGCACTTTGACCTGAGCATGCTTACTGTGCATGTTGCCCTAAATACTTATACTAAATACTGCACTTTCACTTACGCAATCTTTTAAATAAAGGGCAATTTGAAATGGCCTTGTTTCTTTGCTTAAAGAAATAGTTTGATATTTTGGGAGACCTGGTTAATGTTATTCTTGCCTCGAGCTAGATGAGAAGATTGATACCAGTCTCTGGTGCCGGTAGGAGGACTTTGTACCTTCGGATGGATTCGGGCTGCTTCCTCCTGCTTCCTGTTCTTTGCTGGTGGGAATTAAGCCCCGCTGGTCTTTGGCAAAAGGTGCTCTGTGATGGTTTGTCCTTCTTCAGCATGTTTCAGGTGTCTCTGAGTGAGATGTTGAAAAGGGAGAAAATCAATCCAAAAGAATCCCCGACATCTATTCACTTAAATGTGTGTCATGAACGAAACAAAACCCACCCACTCATGTTCAGAGATGCTCACACTTTTTATCACAGTGTCAAACAAGTACACAGCCAGTGAAGCCTAAAAGCAGTAATCTCTGATCATTTCTGTTTTCCAGCGGTACAAAGGGCCTTCTGAGTTGTCTATCAGCTGTACTCTCTCTTTCTGTCCTGGCTTTCTACCCTTTTGTTTGTATTCATCCTCGTCTGTTGGACTCATTACGCCTCTCCTTGTCTCTGCCCTCCATTTCATATTCACGGTCTTTGGTTTATATTCTCTCATTCCTTCTGCTCCCAACAAACTGTTGTCTAGAGGCATCAAAGGCCTTGTAATTTAACCCAAACCGCTGTTACACACACATAAACACACACACAAGGCCCTTGAAATGATGGAAAGACTCTCAATACAGTCCCAGATAAAAGCTTTAAGCAGTTCTCATACAATTCTTGTCAGAGCGCGGTGAAGGACTGTGTTGTGCGCTGCTTTGCTGTGGATTCAGTGCAATGCCAGTTCTATCATATGCGTCCTTTTGTGCATTGAAGTCAATTTATTTCAACATGTTTTCTCTCCCTTGTCAGTATTAGAACATTTTAACTCTCAGCTTTGAAAACATCAAATGAGATTTCTCTAAGCCTACAGATGGTGTTTACATGAATTCAAGCTCACACGGGGAATACACTTGCGCATTAATAGTGACGAACCACAGGTGTGGACACAGAGACGCCCAAACCCACTCAGGCTACAACACACACACACGCGTAGCGGCAGGTAGCCTCGGGGCTGCCACAGAGTGGTGGCAGATGGTAAGTGCCTCTGCCGGTGCCGCCTCTTAATAACAGAGCGGCTGATCACTTCAAACAAGCCACTCGGAGCAAAACTTTCCCTCTGCTGGCGGAGAGAGAAGCCCAAGTCACCGAGCAGGTACCCTGGAGAAACGGCGTGTGTTTGTGCAGACGCAATGTGTCTTTCAGCCTACTCATAAACTTTGCGTGTGTTGATGTGTGCGGACGCGCACTGATTTGTGTGTGTGTGTGTGTGTGTGTGTGTGTGTATGTAAAAGTCAGCTCTAGAGTTTTCTTGCCCGGCCGTGTGGAACACAGCAGATGTGCTCAGTTCTTCCCCTGAGGACGCCCGCCTCTCTCTCTCTCTCTCTCTCTCTCTCTCTCTCTCTCTCTCTCTCTCTCTCTCTGCTCTTCACACAATCAGCTGACGTCAGTACTTATTCCCGTCTTTCGTCTTCTCTCTCTCCTTCCATCCCGCTCACAACATCTCACCTCTGGTTCGGTTTGTTTTTTGGCCATACGTTGAACATGTTTTTATGTTTGTTGCATGTTTTTAACACACCCGCGTAATTGTTTAAGTGGAACGGTTTAATTGTGCCGCGATGGGCGAAATTCTTGTAAACGGGCTTTTAGTGTTTTTTCAGAACAATTAAAGAGTTGAAAGCTGAATCTTTAAAGATTTCTTTTATATGGAAACAGTGCCATTAAAGTAGACAATTACCAGACGTACCATATCAGCTTTTGCAAAAAAAAAATGGGGGTTGCAAACTCCCGCTACATGGGGGGCCCCCGACCCAGTTCTCCAAGGAGGAACCACTCCAAGAAAACTCCTTTTAGAAAGACGCCGTTTGTCATCATGTGACAGATGTTAGTGAGTCAGGCTGCTGTTGAACAAAGCTCACAAGTCGTGCAGTTAGACTCAACGTGCTAAATGTTAAATCTATTATTTAAATAAATACAGTACTAACATCTACCTGAGCAGACAGTGACGTCATTGTTTTACATGGCGAGCTGGCTCTGCGTGCTTTTAGTGCACGTCGGTGCACGTGCGCTGTTCTCACCGTCCGATTTCTTCATCAAAAGCCTCTAAATCTTGGATCTTGCACCCTGAAATGAGAAATAAATCCACTTTTTCATGCTCCAATTTTACGATCAGATGAATTAATTATTACTCCGAAATAAAAGACCAGAGAGAAAATAAGATTGTGAAAAAATATGAACATTACCTTGGTGAGGCTTTTCAAATAATCACACAACAGATCTCCGGCCGCAAAGGAAGACTTTGGTCTGAATAGATTCTACCGCAACCATTTGTCAAGATGTAATTGATGTTTTGCGCTCTGTTGACAGCAATGTTGGTTTCCTCTTAAAATTCAAAGCATCACTTCTTGTGCAGCAGGTAAATAAAACCCAAATCTTGCTTTAGGTTGTTTGTTTAAGGGGTTCAGTAACAGGCCTCTCTCACTCTCTCGCACAAACACACACACACACACACACACAGATCCAGCACATCTTGTTCATGCATAAACGTCTATTTAGTCCCAAGTAGGCCAGAGCATCACATGAGCAGTTAGTCACACCATGAATGACATCAGTTCCTCCCGTTCTCCCTCCCTGGATTTCAGCTGCTATTTTCAGTCGCCGAAAGGAGTGAAAATATTCACGCTGTTGAAAACAAAAAAGGAATATTCTTATTAAATTCATGAGACGGCATTACGTGCCTCGCGTTGTGCGCGCGTTCTATCGAGAGAGAGAGAGAGAGTGAGCGAGAGACAAGGTGACACTACGAGCAACAAGAGCGTGGATAATGAAAACTAAACACCATCCTTTCTCTCTTTCCTCCTGTCTTGCATCTGCTCTGCACCACTAGTTTGTCTGTAAGCTAGTCAGGGGATTTGAACGGTGTGTACTTGTGGGTGCATCTTTTCTTAAAATTTGATTAGAAAAAAGCCAGCTCGGGTTTTTCAACCATTTTGAGCTTTTCTCATAATGTTTAGTGTCCGTCTGCAACTACCCAAACATGTGAGCGCTCCACCCAATCGGACCAATCACATCCAGTCAGCTATTCGATGTCAACGAATCAATAACTGTGAAGGTCTGATCAGAGTAAAAAAGCCCATTTAGGCTTTCATTAAAATGTGCACGGCGGTCTAGATAATGACCAATGAAATCACGCCTGTAGATTTACTCTTTAACTATCGAACGCTCTGCATTCGGTCCTCGTCAGATGTCTTTTTCCCTTTTGCAATAAAGGCATAAATCCCTGTGTTGTTGTGTTTATAACCTTGATTGAGCTGCTCTCTGCAGGAATCATTTAACCATCGGTATACTACAAGCTGTGTCCAATTAAGGCAGAACACCATTGAGGTTGTTTTACAAAAACAAGATCTGCCGATTTTCTCTATTTAAAAATTGCCCGTCTTAATGGAACCGTTATTGAACAAGCGCCTGAATACAAACCTCTCGGCGACGCGTTCAACAGCAAACTGACTTTCGAGGCTCACATTAAAACAACGGCTGATTGAAGCTGTTGACGGTCAGTTTCTTTTATAGGTAACAGAAATGGTTTTTTCGTTTTGCAGATTGTGGAGACCTTTTTAAGCATTCTCGATCAGTCTCAGATTACGTTTTCATCTAAATGGCACTCCTTTAATAGCCGTAGATGCTGCCTTTACACTGCTGTTAGATGCATAGCTTCAGCAGCACGCGGCGCTGCACTCTCCATCAAAGTAAGGGCTGGAAGGGCAAGTGCAATATCGCTTTCTTGTTTATTTGCACAGCTTCTCCGGATAGACGGCCGCCTTATCTCGTCTCTGACATGCAGATCTGGAACCTATCAGACTTGCCTTAAAGGCGGCCGACTGCTCCAGGTTATTAAAGTGCACTCAGAGCTCAGGAAGCTTTCAGCGAACTGTTTAATCCTGCAGGAATCATTTACAACAGATCAGATCAAGCTTGATGCTTATTCTACATCAGCAGTTATACCAACGCTGGTATGAGCCTCCTGTCTTGCCACAAAGCCAGTATTAAGTACTTAGGTGTTTGTATTTCTACAAAAAAAATTCGCTTTATTTGTTAATTGTTCATTACGGCTTTCTAAGGCTGCTGTTTCTTTCAGTTCAAGGGAAATATCTGAATCTTCAGCCACTAAACGCACTAAAAATTCTCAAATTTGAGGCATATCTTTTCCAAGAGCAGCTGTGAGGGCGAAATCGAGGTAGAAACTAAGCGGAGCTGGTGGAAGTTGGTGTGAGCAGTTTTGGCCACTATAGATAGTTGATAGCTGCTGAGACGACACAAGTTCCTAACGAAAAGCCGACATGTGGGTGCAACACGTGCGGTCCGAGCAGAACGGTTGACATTGGGCTTTGGGTGTTGGAGTAGGCGAGGCGAGGCAGCGTGAGTAAGATGAGACGTCAACCGCGTCCAACAGTGTGAAATGTTCTTCTCAGGTTTCATCCTGTCATCTGTCAGCAGATCAGTCCAAAGGCAACACGGCGAGCGGACTTTGCGGCCAGGTGTTTTCAGCAATGTGACCACCCCCCCTCCCCACTCTGTGTCTTCATCCAGATGTTTTGGACAGCATGGCGAGGTTCAGCATCCAGGGAGTCTTCAACTACAGCATGCTGACGCTGTCCGACCACGAGCGGGTTCTGTACGTGGGAGCGCGGGAGGCGTTGTTCGCCCTGGACCCCAACGACATCAGCAAACAGCTACGGCCTCAGGTAACGCGCACCGCGCGCCAAACGCTCTCTTTTCTTCACTGAACGTCAACGTGGGAAGGATCCACACAATGGCGCCTCTGACTAACAAGCCACTGAAATCGCCCACGCAGTCTGAAAAGGCTTTTGTGGGGATGTGAGAAAATGAAACGATAACACATGAGATTTAACGGCGCAGCGCTTCGTGATGGACAGGCCAGGAGCACAAAGCGCCGCGTCTCCTCCGCGCAGCCTGGTTACTGAGCACTGCGGAGAAGAACGCACATTTCAAATACCTCATTTAAATCCACCAAATTCAATTATGATATCAACTGTGATATAAGTATTGTGGGCAAGATTCAGCCTGAATATGCATGAAAGGGAAGAAACATGGAGCTTAATCTCCTCGGCACTTCTTTGCTGTCTATTAACTTTTAGACTGAGCTTATTTTGTACTTTTTTGACAAATCTTTGGACTCAAGGACGTTTAAGAACACACACAAAAAATGTTCCTGGGTGACAATTAAAGAACTATAATTGTAGCATAATAAAGTCGGCTGAGTCACACTGGTTGTTCTTTATTGGTCTGTACAATCTAATAATGTACAAGCTGACAAGCAATTTATTGTCTTCTCAAATGATGTGTCCTCCTCAAAGGGTCAAACATATAATAAAATGAAAAAGCAGAAAGCACCTTCGCTTCAGTTTGATTCGTGTGATTTTATTTTCCGTCTAATAAAAAAAAAACACACACGCACAAAACTCGTAGGAAACTATTTATATTTAGCCTGAAATTAACAAAGTTAAGCACAATAATAATCACAATAATCTGCTTATTTACTGGGGATGATAAGGTGAAGAACTCAGTTCCGTACTTGTTCTGCTGCAGTAAAGAGACATGCACTTGAAGACCAAGATAGCTAGCGAGGGATATTAAGCATCCATTATATTTACGTGTGTAGACTTAAACTACCCTTTAACTCGAAAGTTTTAGTAGTTTTTTTCTAACCAAATCAAACCGTGACAACCCCCATAAACCTAAAAAAACAAAGTCATAACAAAGAGTCATTGTTAATCGGGAAAGGGATCTTTACATTTTCAAGCTTTATTTATTTTGGACTAAATTCAGATGCCTCTTGACAAGTTATTGCTTTATTTGTAAATGATTTATTTTATCTGTTGCTAAAAGCATCCAACAGCAACAGTGCGAGTACGCTGCCAAGCATTAAGATCCTAATGTGCGTGGCTATCGGGTCCAATATTTCACTTCTGTCAGCACAAACGTATCCACTGTGAGTGGACGCACACACACACTTTCACGGGCGTTGCCCTGGTTTTGCAGAGTTTATGATGCACTTATTCAACCATGATTTCATTGTCCTTCTTTGAATTTGCGTATCTTGTTTTTCTGTGAAGCACTCTGGGGCCAATCTGTTTGCTCACAGCTCAACTCTATAAATACCCTTGACCTGATGCACACACACACACACACACACACACACACACAGACACACTGATGCTAAGGCCTCAGAGACTCAATCTGTTTTTGCTTAGCTCCCTCAATAATTGGTCCATATTGCAATCAGTAGAGTTTCAGCAGACCGATGGAGGTGTAGGAGGCAGCCGGCAGCGGTTTGGGAATTGTTATCTGATTTGGCGGCGTAATGAGCAGTTATTAGATGCACACACACACACACACACACACGGTGTCACACACAACGCGGGGCTGTGGCTGTTTTGAGTGAGAGTTATGAGTCTTACAGTAATGACAGGACCACCTGTGGTCGGCCCCCGTGTGTGCACTGTGGCGGGAAGCAGCCAACGCGGAAGAATGACGAGGAGGACATGGGAATATTCCGTCCCCTTTGTCCCCATCCCAACCCCCCTCCCCCCCCCCCCTCGTTCCTCTAACTGCCACCTTTTTGTTTCTTCAATGCTGCCTTGCTCGCTCGCTGCCTACAGTCATCTCTTTCAGGTCTTTCTTTCTTCCCTCAGTATTTCCAAGGGATGAATTTTCTCAGTTTGTATTTTTTTTGGAGACATGCAGCTCCCCTTCGCTTCTGGAGTGCTTCCTCTTACATTATTTAGTTATCTTCTTTCCTATGTGAGTTATATAAGTTATCTTCTTTCTGTTTTGGGCTATTTCATTTGTTATTTTCAGTCAGATGCATCAGACACCGCTTATAGCATTTGGACTAAATGTGCCACATTAATGTGCCACAGTGTGAAATCAGGCTCAAATATCCAGCCGTCCTCGCTGTATTTGTTTTTTGATCTCCATCTCAATTCCAGATGCCCTGTATTCAACTAGTGTGTTTTTTCTTATTCATGAGCTAAATTTTCCCTTTTTTTAAACTAAATGACAACCTGGCCAAAAGGCAGCAACAGAAGGCAAGAAATGAATAAAACATCATCATAGTATGGGCTACATATCGAAAACAAATTATCAGTGTCCAAACTGTACGATGCAAAACATCAGAGGTTTAACATGCTGAAACGGGTCGTGTAATAACGCCGAGCTCCTTCCTAAAGTCCGGTTTATGCTCAATTCTCACCCGCTGAGTCTCTATTACAGACAGTGTAAGACACGTATTAACCGTACATTAACCCTGCTTACGTCCATAATCAGAGACTGTCCCTAAGACGCTGATGTGAAGAGGGCTCGTTATTCGTGCCACGCGTTGGTGCGAAGTGGAGCACATTTGCTCTCGGGCATGAACGCAAAGAGCTTCTGCCGCTTCCGTGTGGAGATTTTAGTAAAGTACCCGATCCGTGTGGAGCAAATGAAGAGTTCCTTCATGAGATAATAAGGTAGACATTGACTGGTGACTCTTGAGAATCCACTGGGAATAAATTAGAAACAATAAGCTGCTGGTGTTGCTGTGCTTCATTTTATCTGTGTGTAGTACAGGTGATACATCACAGCTACTGATAACCCATTTTATTATTATAATAAAACAATTCTAGTTTGTAGAGCTCAGTCTGTCCACCAGTGCAGAGTGCGTCTCATCGTGCGATGGCCGTTGGGTGGGTTTATACCCACTCAAGCAAACCTGAGTTTAATAGGGAATTTGCAGAGGCTCTCTGTCTGTAATGACCAGTGTAATTATTTCTAATCATGTGGAAACGTCTCAGTAAACACCGTTCGGACGAATGTCCGCGGAGAAAAGTTCAGCCGCGTGTCACGCGGGCACCAGAAAGCAGCCGCTGTGAATAACAAACTGAATAGCCACCAAGTCATCGGTTATGGGAAGCACGGACGTGTGAAAGTGTGAAAGGCCCCAAACGTGGCTCCTTTTTTTGCCGGCCTCCCCGTCATTGTTCATGTCGCAGCGGTGCCACAGAAGTGACACCTCCTCCAGGTGTATTACGACACTGTCAGTCTTCGATCCTTTAAACAGTCATCGGGAACGTCGCTGCTCCGAGGACCTCGCCGCGTCCTTGGCAGCAAATGGTCAAGAGTGCAGTCAACACGGGGAGTGAAACAAAGACGGCTTTTTCGTGCCAGAAAGAAACGAGCTGAAGTCATTTTTGATGAACACAGTTATTGGACTTGTCGGCCATTAACGCATCTCCCTCTCTTTTCTCTTCTCCAGATCGACTGGCCGGCTCCGCAGGATAAGAAGAGAGAGTGCGTAGCCAAGGGGAAGAACAACCAGGTGACGTGTTTGGGGTGGTTGGGGGGGGGGGGGGGAGGGGGTCACCTGCCTTGCTCCAGGGCACGGAGGCAGTGGGTCTTTTTAAGACAGTGGTTTATGAGAATTACATTTTGGTCGAGTCCGTCTGCGACTTGGAAACCTGGAAACCTTCCAGTCATTACATCAGCACCCAGCGAGCGGGCCTCCGCCAGATGGGGATCAGCAACTTTCTCCACAAAGAGAATCTAAAATGAGGGATGTGCATCCCTCGCTAACACATTATAGACGTCGTGAAACCCTTTTCCTTTTAATATATACTTTCTTTTAATGGAGTCAGAGATGCGTTCTTCCCAGAGGTTCCACTGCAACCGTCCGACTGCACACGCAGGTCGTGAACCGCTTTGCTCTTGGGTTTTGGCTCCAGAGCTTCTCTCTGCTTACGCTGCATGATGTACACTTGGAGTCTCCTTTAATGTTTTATAAAAACGCACAGCGCTTTTGGAAAGGAAGTAACCTTTGATGTGGTTATAAATAGAATTTAGGCGAAATAGTTCACTTGAGCCTTGTTGATAAATAAAATTGGTGCAGGAATAAAACAAATTAGATTTTTTTAATTATTTCAAATAATTACCCGAACATAATTTATTCGAAATTCACCCTTTTCAAGATGGATCATTCTTCTATTTTGGATGGGTTTACTAAAAAGGGACTTAAATAGCTTTTAATTCTGAAAAGATGGACAAATAATTGAGGGGAAATTACTACATGTAAGAAGGACCATATGGTGTTCACACTGACCGCTGCTTCCTTAAGTCTTTTTATGTGGTATTGTAGTTATGGACACGTCTCATCCTAATTGTCCTCACTGATTGTAGGAGCTGGAAAGAAATACTGATATTGTTTTGCTCAGCGAGTGGATGCACTTAATTATTCATTCCTCAAACAACACACTTGTGTGAGCAGCTTTATTCTTCATCACAGACGTTCAAGGGCATAAAACACGGAAAAGGATATGATCAACCAACAATGTTGAGGTATTTCAAGTGAATGGGGATTTAAAAGAAGTCACAATGAAGCATTGAACTAAAAGCTAAATCTCAGAGGTGCATGTGACCGTGGAGACGTGAAATAAACTTCACCTTATCAGAGGAAAAAAGCTTCACCTTCCCAACAAACAACAGCATTCTAATCAGTTTCCCTCTCGCGTTCACAGACCGAGTGCTTCAACTACATCCGTTTCCTGCAGAGCTACAACCACACGCACCTCTACACCTGCGGCACCTACGCCTTCCAGCCCAAATGCACCTATGTGGTAACTATGCGTGTGTGTGTGTGTGTGTGTGTGTGTGTGTGTGCGCGTGTGTTACCATTGACAGTTAATATGAGCCAGTGTTGACAGGTGTTGACTTCGGATGTCAGCCGTCTAACCCTCCGGCAAAGACCACTGTGTGATAAAATCCTAAAATAAATGCAATGGAAAACAGAATCTCACGCTGGGTTAGTTGGATGTGTGAGCGCTTGTGTGTGTGTGTTGATATATGCGACGCTGATGCAATAAGACAACATGACCAGGGATGGAGCTGTGGTCCTTGGGAAGGACAGACGGAGCTTGCAGCTGTGTCATGTGGGTCGTAACACACAGTGAACCCGTGTTCCCGTGTGTGTGCCTGCAGAACGCCGACTACTTTACCCTCAACACTGCAGCCCCGGAGGACGGGAAGGGTAAATGCCCATATGACCCTGCCAAGGGGCATACCGGCCTGATAGTAGGTGAGTGTCCGCATGGAACTTAAAATAGATAAACGCATGTTTTCGCGTTCTCCGTATTCAGGCAAAAATATGCATTAGCTGCATGGCAACATTCCACTGAGAGGCGCACAGACGCACGTTATCACCGTCACTTGTTTATGTTGCAAACTGCTTAAAACGGCCAATTTAAAACTTGATAGAGTCCAAACTCATCGGGGTATTTGACTCCCTGGACATAACCTAAGATCGGGTAGTTTTTTTGGCCATCTAGCCTGTAACTCCCTCACGTTGCCTATGTCATCACTGCTTACAAAACATAACATGACCAATAAAGAAAATACGAGTGTACCCATCATTAAGATGCATGAGTAGTCCTGACATATGGATATGGATTCATGTCAATCAACACCATACCAACAGTCAGCAGAGTGAACGACACCACCGTGTTTTCACAGCTCACAATAGAAGCATAAAATGTCCATCGAATCACCACAAACCCACTTCTGCAGCATTTCCATCTGTTTTGTGCGATTGCACTAGAGAGTCCAGGGGTCCAATTTAGCTCTGCATACTGCATTCATTTCATTGTGAGCAGTTCCTTTGAACTTGAGAGCCGTCCTCTGCTCCTCCATGTGCCTCCACGCGAAAAAAAACAAAAAAAACAGAATTAAACTAAAGCTTGCATTTTGTTGCTGCAGATAAGGAGCTGTACTCGGCAACGCTCAACAACTTCCTGGGTACGGAGCCGGTCATTCTGAGGAATCTTGGCCAGCAGCACTACAGCATGAAGAGCGAATACTTGCCTGCCTGGCTCAATGGTAAGAGGAAGAGAGGACGTCGGAAAGACGGATTAAAAGAAGCGGTTAACAACGGGGAAAAAAAGGGGAACCGGGAGGAGGGGAGGGAACGGAGAGAGAAATAATTCAATTGCTTGTTTGTTTCATGCACAGTTACCGCGCAGAAATTGCACACAGGAGTAAACAAGGGCGGCCTTTTAAATTCTACCGGACATCTTACAACTTCGTTGGCCAAAATGAAGAGTGTTTTATCAGCACTAATGAGCTGTTTGAAAACTGCCTCCAGAAGATTTATTTATCTTGCCAGCGGGCGGCTCACGTTGAAAAGAATGTAAAGGGATCTTTGATGTGCACTTATTGCCGACATACATGATGTAATGCCGACAGACTGATGCTAAAAGCCGGCCAGTGGCCTCACCAGTTAATGGTGCATGTAAAAGACATAATAGAAGGGTTACGCTGCTCTCCTGTTTCCCGGCAGCTAATCTAGTTTTATATAAAGGCAGATTTAGTCTCTGAGAAGATGAATGTGGCAAACAAAATGTCATCTTAGGTAATACTTTTTCTATATGTTAGCAAAAAGGCTCGTACCGTCGTAGTGTACTATTAGCTTACGTGCTGGCGCAATTGGACACCTGATTTAAAACATCTGTTTGCAAGCAAAATAATCTATTCCATAATTGGGTTATATTGAATTAAACTTAAAATATGCTGCATCAGTTCAGGTTTTCCAAGACACTGACACATTGAATATAAATTCACATTAAACAAATAGTATTAAATTTTTTAATAGTTCTGTTGAAAACAAGTATGGGCTAGAAACAAGCAAAAGATAAATGAAGCGCAGGAAATGAAGCGCAGGACTTGGCTTCGGTAAAAGATCGTTATCTTTTCGGGGGGGGGGGGTTGGAGAAAGGAATGAGCTACTTGGAGAGAAATGAAGGGGAGAGAAGCGGATGAAGTCACGGCAGTGAAAATGGCCGATGAAAGGACGGACACCGGCGATGAAAAGATAGAAGAGATGGGCTGGCGGGACGGAGGAACATACAGACGAGGCTGACGTTTCGATTTGTTAAAAACTACACCAGCAAAGGAAGCCCTCGCCTTAATTCAAGCAGCTTCTCGCCAGCCTAAGAGCAATTAAGTGGCCTGGCTTTGATTGGAGGATTATAGCGTCTTATGATGCCGTAGAATACTGCTTCGGAGGCTTATGCAGAAAAGAACAGTCCACCTGGAGGGAACTCTGTTTCCTTGTAATTAGGGGGAGGGGGGGGGGGGATCCAGCCGCACCACATTGCTGAAATCCGCTGAATGTCTTTTAAAAACGTATCAATGGAAAGCTAATGAGGGGTGGATAGAGAATCTGAGAAAGACGGGAACCGATGGGAGGAAGTGGGAAACTCAAAGAGAGGCAGAGGAAAGGACTTGAGGAGGGATGACAGAGAGGTGAGAAGAGGCGGCAGGGAACAGGAAAGAGGTGTTTGATGTCTTTTTTTGATGCTCACCTACTTGTTCGCGCAGAGCCGGACTTCGTGGGCTCGGCCCTGGTGAGGGAGAGCAGCGGCAGCAAGGACGGGGACGACGACAAGATCTACTTCTTCTTCAGTGAGCGGGCGTTGGAGCTGGACTGCGACACCGAGCTCACGGTGGCCAGAGTCGCACGAGTCTGCAAGGTAATGCCACAGACGATGATCAATTCTGATCAGGGATTATTCAATCGGGATTCTCACAAAACGGCATGCTCTCCCCGTGGAAGTTTATTGACAGTAATCAATCTGCAAAGTGGCTGTTTCAGAATGAAATGGGGCCCTCGTGATGCCGAAGCTGGTTTTGTTTGCATAACAGTTCCATGCATGAAGTCAGCTGTTTTCTCCAGCTGTTTTGGCAGCTGTTTCTGGGCACTTAATGATTGGAGACAGGCTTGCCACAATGTGTTGGGCTTAGAGACTTCAACGGGAGATGCCCATATAAGGAGGTAACCGGTGGAGTAGTTCAGCAGCTCCGGTAGACGTATAATGGATGGCATAATGGCGTATTTCTTCCCCTTCCCATCAGATTCAGCGACTTTTGCTCCGCTTCAGGTTGGGTTTAAACAGAAGTGACACAAACTGCATAAACTAAGAGCAGACAACATTAAAGAAAGCTAGTTACCGATGGATCTCCAGTCTTTTTGCCTTTGGGAGAGGAGAGATTTTTCATTTTGGCTTCTTTGAATTGCCAAATGACTTATGAGACATATGCATCCATCTGATCATCTACTCTTGCAAAGTGGTGTGAACATGATAGAAACGTGAAAACTTCTGAATCACTGAATCAGACATGACCTGACACATGGAATAAGAAACTAAGAAACAGCTGAAAACAGCTGTCCTGTGCCTTTAATTTGTGCCACCCTTCATTTTGGCTAAACAAGTATTGAGGGGAGACAATTGCATTAACATGGAGCTATTTGGTAATGGATGCTTTCATTTGCTTAGTTAATGTTCTCATCAGGAGAACTGATTAGGTCTGATATAGCACAGCAATTATGGCTCGACATCAGAGGTGCTTCTCACTGTGAAGGGGGACTTAAGACAGCAGCTATTTTGTAATTCCGTTTGGCTTCGGGGGGCCTTTTACAAAGGTTTGCTGTCGCGTTACAGCGACGCATGAAGACGCATCGTCGCGGTAACCTTTTAAACTGTTAACATTGTTAACAGTCTGAGGACATATGTCTAATTAAATGTACAATATATGCACGCTTTAATGTTAACTACCCTTTCATGTGCACGTCGATGAACAATAAAGCTTTTTGAATGGAATCAGAAACAGATGCTGGCACACAATGTGTACTAGAGCAATGAACATTTCAGCTCCTCCTGCTGATATCGCTGTTGCAGCCACTGCACAGTGTCTGTATCTCACTGCTATGAGCATTTGCATTTTTTTTTTTTTATTCCCTTTTACAGCTTCTGGAATCACTGAGGATGATAGGGATGAGACATATGTGGCAGACGGGCCTCCTTTGAGCCCACAGAGTACTATATAAAGGGACAGCTCATGAAAGCGCAACGGTTATTATATAATTGAATATTATTATTATTGTTATGCTGCATCTCAATGGTACACAGGAAAAGCTCAGGTTCTAAATGCGCCTCGAGAGGTTTTTCCGGGCTCATTTGCATGCAAACAGGTTTGTTATTTTGTAGCTACAGAAGTGGTACAGTTAAAAGGTGAAAGAGTTCACACAATCCTTGGTGCGGCATGTATTTGGCACAGCAGGGAAATCAGAAATAACAATGAGAACACGTTTAAAATGTAACACTTCGCATGCATATACGGTAGCTAATTGGCCATAATTCTGTTGTTGTAACATTTAAGCACTAGAATACTAGAGTAATGTCAATAGGAAAACAGAAGTACACTAATGTTGGTAATGCTGGTGAAAATAGGGATTTATTATTACGATGATGTGGTTTTTTTGACGTCATTGTTGTTTTTCTAACAGGCCTTGACAAGACAGGACAAGCAGCAATAAGACCACACACACACACACACTCCCGTAAAAGCACATCTTAGAGGGTCTTAACTGATCCAAATAAATCCCTTGTTCACGTATTCACAAATTCATCTCATTCCTGCCGGTGATTTGACCTCACGTGTCGTCTCTCAGGGGGATCTGGGCGGTACCAGAACCCTGCAGAAGAAGTGGACCACCTTCCAGAAAGCCCGCCTGGAGTGCTCCCTCCCCGAGCGCCACGTCTCCTTCAACAACCTGAGAGCCGTGTTCACGCTGCCGGGCCAGGACTGGAGGGCGACCACCTTCTACGGCATCTTCCACGCGCAGTGGTGAGTCGGCGCGGGGGCGAGCGCCGCTAATTGAGACGGCGGCTGTCATCCTCGGACGAATGGGAGTTAATTACTGCATTTGCCATCTGCTGCCAGTTCAAGACACTGCGTCACTTTAGCAAGATATCAGGTACTCTGCTTTTTATTAAAAGCACAGGTCAGCCAGTCGGCCTGATATGATAGTTCTAATTATGTACTTCATGCGATGAGGTATTTACTGTGTAATTGACCGTTTCATATAATAAGCCTTCCACTGACGCTAATGTGGGTTTTTCTAAAGTGGACACAACATAAGTGTGCTTGAACATGTTTTAGTGATTTAATGTCACACAGACCTAATGGGATTTATGATGATGGGGAACACGTTTGCTGAATCCGATTTAATTTAGTCCCATCCTAAATACCCACGCACTACAGATTGAGTCATTTGTTGATCACTTCCTATACATTCATAGGAGTGAGTATCATTCCTCCCCCTTGTTTTGCAGAAATAGATGCAACCTTTTGGTAACTTAGTAACAGTAGGTCACGTCTCTGTGAGACCAAGAGAGGAAAACAACTGTTGATGTCCACTGTTCCTGTTCATAATTAGTTCAGGGTCTAACGAACTTTTCTGGCTTGTTTCTTCTGGAGGACAAAACCGCATCAGAGCGTTAATTAAACAACAAACTGGTGCTTTGTGTTGACAATAGTAACTCTGTTTTGATTAGGAACTGTACTGTTATTAGTGGGGTAAAGACCGCTGGACAACTCTACCGTGTTAATGAGTTACTTATCAACGAGGAAACAGGAGCCAGGGCAGGAGGTTCCCTTTGAGAGAAAAATTGCAGACGTTCTCCATCTCCGGGTAATACCCTTTGATGTCGGCTCTTTTGTGTTCCTCAATAAGATATCGTATCGCACGGCGAACCAGCTTTGAACTTGAAGCTTTGTCTCTTCACTCGGAGTTCCTTCAGCAGCAGAAAGAAAGGCCTAATCCCGTTTCTCTGTGACTTGCTGGGGATTCCTTAAAGTCTCGAAGGCATTAAGATAATTGGACGTTATGTAAATGATGACTCAAGAGTTCAAGCCATAAGCTGACTGAATTGGCCAGCTTTTAACTTACTAAGACATCAGTGCTGTCCTTTGGTTTGGATGTTCATCTTTTAAAATCTGTGGAACGGCTGCACATTAACAGTACCGTTTGAGTCTGGAAAAGCACTTTCAAAGACAAATGTACAGCGTAAGTGGCGGATTCTTAACTACATGCCTTTCTAATCAGTTTTTACGTCAGTGACTCTGTTTCAGAGATAAATAAAATAAGTGTCCTCCCAAGTATGGAAATTAAATACATTTGTGACTCGAGGAGTGCAAGTCAGACTAAATTTTCCTGGGTCATAAGTCAATACGCAATTTCAGTCCCACTTTGGGTCTGAAATTGGGCTCAAAAAATGAATATATGCTCCTCCAACAACACTTGCCTCACCATCGAATTAAATGCGTTACCTGAGTTGCAGCACAAACTGATTTCAGTGGCCGGCCAAGTGGATGTATTACATGTCCATCAATTCCATCACTTGCTTTCCCACAGAAATGATAAGATGTGTCAACACATCTTATCATTTCAGCTCACTCGGTACGTGACAGTATCAGCTGCTGGATATTAAATATTTACAGCGCAATCCTTTTACATATCCTGTTCCGCATGTAACGGCTGACATTTAGTGTGTCGGACCCTTGTCGCCGTGTTTCAGGGGTGACGTGGACGTGTCGGCGGTCTGCCAGTACCAGATCGGTGATGTGAAGAAGGTGTTCGAAGGATCCTACAAAGAGTACAGGGAGGCATCGCAGCGGTGGGGGCGCTACACCGGCGGCGTCCCCGTCCCGCGACCCGGATCGGTAAGAACACTGGTGGCCCGACACTTGACACGTATGATGGGCGATGTTTTATGGATGTTCCCAGAGTACTGTTCCAAAGTGTAGAGGTTTTTGTCAAGTGGGCAGAGGAGGGATGAGGAGGAGGAAGGAGGAAGGGAGGGATGCATAAATGGGCGGCGTGGGATTCTGTAGCGATGAAAGCAGAGAAGAGCAAGAGCTGGAACGACACCAAGCGCTAAGAAGGTAATGATCCACGACGAAAGGAAGCAGAGGAAAGGATGCGATGGCAGGCGGATTTGAAAAGGCAGAGTGAAGTAGAGACGGAGGAGAGGAGAGAAAGGGAACGAGGGAGTGAGTCATCTCAAAGCCAGCAAGCCATGCCAACCTGTGCCAGCTGCAGCTAAGAAGTTTCCTCACCTCCTTTTTGCCTCCTTGGCCCTCTCACCCTTCCCTTCGTCCTTTCCTCCCATTCCTTTCTCCTCCCCCCTTTTCCCTCTCCATCCTCGTCTGTCTGTGCCGCAGTGTATAACCAACTCGGACAGGGAGAGCGGCTACAACAGCTCTCTGCAGCTGCCCGACGCCACGCTCAACTTTGCCAAGAAGCACCCGCTGATGGAGGACAAAGCTCTGGCTCGCCCCCTGCTGCTGACCAAGGGCGTCAACTTCACCAGGCTGGCGGTGGATCGGGTCAGCGCCCTGGACCAGCGGGCCTACAACATGCTGTTCATCGGCACAGGTACAAGCTACACCAGGGTTTTTGGAATGAAATAATACACACGATAGATGACACATGAGTAGAATTTGAGGATCGGCAAATTAAAGCTTTCGGTTTTTCCTTCTATTGAGTTGCTATTTATTAAAGTACCTACATCTCATTCAGTGAGCTAAGCTCTTTTTTCAAAACTTATACATCAGGTTTTTGGAAGATGATACCAATAGCCTCCTCAAATACAATGCATGCATGCAGAAAGCCACACTCGCCTGCTGTAAAAAATGTGTTCAATCAGCATCTTTATAATCTAGTTTTGACATAAATAAATCAGAGTTAAGCTTAAATCTATTATATTTTTGCAGGGTAATTGTATTGGATTGTATTATACAGTACATGGTGTTCCTGTTACTTTGCCCAACTCCTGTAGCACGGTGTACTCAATGAACCAGTAAGAAGTCATTGCATGTCCACAGTCCCTATATATATATATATATATATATATATATTCCCCTACCGTAAATGAGAGTGTGTGTGTGTGTCTTGGCGGGAGTTGCACACGGTTCTGCTGGAGAGATGAAAGCTCACAGGCCGTGGCAGCAGACAGGGACAGGTACTGGCATTAGCTACGGTGGCACAAAACAACATGCCATCTGGCCACACTTCAGCTGGGTTTCAATTAAGGACGTGATTTGCATGCTGGGATCCATCTTCATGCATCAAAGGAAACATCTACGTATGTGCGACTTAATTAATATCTCCGGCCCATATGCAGGTGTCCTGTTTTGGCACGGAGCTGGAATCAGCCGGTCCTCCCGGAGCCTTAATCCTTAATAACGCATATCCGACAGTGGATTCCAGGCAAACTGAATTTGAATGCGGCCCATCACATGAATGGCGAGAGACTCGACTACTTACCATTCAGATCACCGGCGAGAGACCAACTGTGGAAACTGACAGCGCGACAGCAGCGGGCTCGGGGCTTCACTGCTGGCAAGCGAGCAGGGAGGCCCGCCCGGACGCACGCGCGCACGCACAGACCGACGCACACGTGGGCACACTCACAAACGGATGCACACACAGCGATGCACACGCTCACCGCTTCCCCGGGCCAAGTGCAGTCGTCCGCCCTGCTCAGCGCGCTTCACCGCACAAACTCTACAGGGCCCCCGGCAGACGTGCGCTCGCGGGTGCCGGTTGGGCCGCCGCGTGCTTGATCAGCTATTAGCTGCAGCGTAGCGACCGCTGATGTGAGGAGGAGGGTCGAGGGATTAGCCGTCACCGGCCCCTGACGCCACGAGAGGTCGAGTGTGATGACATGCTGCTTGCTACGTCTGTATGTGTGTGTGTGTGAGTGTGTATTTCCCTCAAACCTCCCGTTTGCTACAGTTAGCTTTTCATATTATCTGTGACAGTCTCCTAATCGAGAGGGCCACACGAAAAGGTGCATGTCAGCGTGCCAAACTGTTCCATCCATGGACACACACACGCACACACACTCACACGCACACACACGCATCAAGGTCACCCCACCAGCTGTGCCTGAAACGCTTTCCCTCTCACAGGATCTCAACTGTGCCGTACATGAAATGAGGAGCACAGGATCTCCTCCTCCTCCTCCTCCTCTAGCGTCAGCTCTCCAAACACCACATAAAAAGTCTGCCAAGTGTCACTGGGGATTTTACATTTACTCGAGGTCGTAAAAAGCCAGGAACAGCATCTTGACTTTAAAATGAATGTTCCTGCTGAACAGGACAGAAGTTGTTTTCTTTGTCATTTCATTTTCTGTCTTCACCAGTTGGCACATTAGTGCGATTGGCCTTAAAGTTGAGGCCTAAATTGAAGTTGATTAAAGTTGCAGACAACTTGATGACACTGTGCATTTGTTTTCTTTTAAGTGACCCCAAGCACACTTCTTTTGTTTTATTTATTGTTGTAATGGCATCAAAGAAGTTCTATTTGAATGAGCTTCTATGCATTCACAGGTGCGTGCTTGCAGATATCATTAATATTTCAGCAAAATTATGATGCAGTGCGTGTTTGTTTGCAGATCCTTAATATTTAAATTCATTGGTATGCAGTCACAGCTCTGCATGCATTGATTAATTTTCATTATTCAAATAAACTGTGCAGTCGCAGGTGTGTGTCTCTAAAAATAATTATATATCAATGATATTCAAATGAGCTGGTCAAAGGTGTGTAGACCGCACGGATGGTCTATTTAGAATCGGGACTCAGGTCTCTGTCTCTGTCCTCTTCCTCACTTGTGTCCCTGCAGCGGAGGGCTGGCTGCAAAGGGTGCTGATCCTGGGCTCCGAGGCCCACGTGATAGAGGAAATCCAGCTGTTTGAGACGGCCCAGCCTGTGGACAGCCTGACCATCTCTCACTCCAAGGTAAGCACAAAGGGAGAGCATCTCTATTGAGCTGTTTTTGAGCTTTCTGCTGCTCGGACTCGGGTATAACAAAGCATACTCACGTGCTCGAAAGTGTGGCTTTGGGCTTCCATTAGCTTGCTCTGCAGTTGCATCACTTTTTCATTGGTATTCAATGACAGCATTGTGACTTTGTCTTCTGCCGTCCTGTTAATACCTGTTTTTTGCCAGACACTTTACACAGAGATCCAGTCTAGTGCCACTGGCCCGCTGCCACTCCGCACATGTTTTTATTAACGCTGCCCTTTTTCAGATCACGGGGTCGCCTCATGAATCCGAAACCGTCTTCTCAATAACAGCAATTACAATCCTTCACCTCGGTGGGGATTTGAACCTCTGTTCCCCTGTGTGGGTTTTTTCTCGACGTCCCCGTCCGCCGCGTCCCCCGTGGCTCCACGACGCCGCGTCCTCTGATCAATGCGATCGTGAAGCGGCCCCCGTAGCCCGCTGCTCATCTCATTAACGCTGGCTTTAACAGACTTTTTATAACCGCTTTCACAAAAAGAGTGCAGTCCAGATTGGATTGGAAGAGGGTCAGGCGGGTGAATGTTATTGTAATTGAGAGTGATTATCCCATTATCTCCTTAAACTCCTAACTGAGTCCCTCCCTCTCTCTCCCTCTCTCTCTCTCTCTGTGTTTATCTCGCACCTTGTTTTCTAAACTCTCTCTGGTTTCTGTCTCTGTGTGACGGCTGCATCTGTTCTCTGTCCTTCCTCTAAATTCTTCTTCCCTCCTCTCTCGTGCTTCTGTAGAAGTACGTGTACATCGGCTCTCGGTCGGAGGTTCTCCAGTTGCCCTTGGCCAACTGCAGCCGCTATCAGTCTCAGCCGGACTGTCTGCTCGCCCGGGATCCCTACTGCGCTTGGGACAGCGAGGGTCGGGCCTGCGTCCGTATCGACCTCCATCGCGGGTGAGACGAGTTCACCTGGCCGCTCAATCTATCAACTAAACATACTTAAAATGAAAGCCTTGTTATTGATTTTTCTAGGAACCTCCCGGTTGCAGAAAACCTGACAATATTTAGAAACAATGTGCCCAATAACTCCATATATTATGCTAATAACTAGATATAAGGAGCTGTTGACAGATGAGTGAAGCATATTTTAGTGCAGCCTTTGCAGATTTTACCCCTGAAGTTGTCGTAGGAAATGCTGTGCTTCACGTGCTTTTATATAGATGCTGGTGGTTTGGACTATGATTATTATCACACAATTGTCTGACTCGTGTCTAATCTTCCGCTCTAGATCCACCTCCTCCCTGTCACAGGACCTAATGCTGGAAAGGTTCAGCCGGGGGAAAGCCAAGTTTGATAAGCCGCCCCCCAGCCCCGGTGAGTGAGGGGCCACACGTCAGTAGTGGCCCCTTGTGGGAATTGACTGTCAGTGCACGAACAAGTCAGCAGAAGTATTTATAAGAGAAGGAACTTGTGCATTTTGCAATCAAGCAAAAGAGCGTAGAATGTGAATAGGAATAATCATGGCTGACACCTGGCCCCCTTTCCTCAAACTGGCCTCCTCTTCCTCCGCAGAGCACTCCCGTCTGAGGAACGTTACCGTGGTGGTGGGCTCTGACATGGTGCTGCCTTGCCAGCTGGTCTCCAACCTGGCTCAGCCCCTCTGGGTGCTCAACGAACGTGAGCTGCAGTTGAGCGACCCTGAGGCGGGCGGGCCGCGCTTCGACCGCACGCTCAAAGCACTCGTCGTGCCCGAGGCGGGGCAGACGCAAGCCGGCCGCTACGTCTGCTACTCCGAGGAGCAAGGGGTCAAGTTCCAGACGGAGCGCTACCAGGTGGCCGTGGTGGCCAGCGCGCCGGTCTTCATGGAGGCCCGTGCTCCTGACAGCAGCATGGGGCTCTTCTGGGTGCTGGTCATCACCCTGGGAGCGGCGTGCCTGCTGCTCCTGGTAGCGGCGCTTTACCTGCGCAGGAGGCTGAAGCTGGCGCTGGGAAAGGGGGCCGACATGAAGCCTCTCGAGAGCACCCTGGTCTACCCGATCACCCTGCCCAAGGAGCCGCCCACCTTTGTGCCCAGCAAGATGCCCAGCGACGAGGACCGCTTCTGGGAGACGGGCGCCAACTACTACTACTCCGACGGCTCGCTGAAGATCGTTCCCGGTCACGCCCTGGGGCCCAACGGCGTCGGCGGCACGGCGTCGCCCAGCGCCATCCCCGGCCAGCCCATCCACTCCCCCAGCCGTCTCAGCCTCACCAATATCCGAGGCTCGGGTAGCAACGGCTACATCCGCCTCAACCTGAGCACAGCAGGGGAGGAGAGGGCTAGCGGGGCCGGCGCTGGGGGCGGCGGGCTGGGAGGCCTGGGCGTGGCCGGGAACGACTACTCCAGCCCCTTCAAGGAAGAGATGAGACGCACCCTGCAGCAGAGGAGCGTGCTGCCCGACGCCAACCCCGAGGAGTCGTCCGTCTAGGCCCCGCCCTCCTCCCTGTCTGTTTCCCTCAGTTGGAAAAAACAAACAAAAACAACCAACCTACCTCCCTCCTTTTGAGGATGCCTGCTCTCTCTCTCTCTCTCCCTCTCTCTCGCTCTGCCAATGCCTGTTTGGCTCACTGTCGACATTTACAGCACACAGCATGTTAAATATAAACGCTCATACACTGTGTACGCCAACATGCACTCCTATAATTGTTATGTCAACATGGAGTCATGGTTGTGAACCTTTTCTGCTTTCACTGTGCATATGCCAATTGTGTAAATTTTTGTATTTAAAACGGCTGCGCGCAGAGGGGCACACCTCCACACATTTTTGTTTTCGAACGTTTTTTTTTCTGAAGGGCAAATTTTCTCTTTTTTTTTGTTGCGTGGACCAAGAGGCTTTCAGCCCCTGTGCTGTGAAACCAGTTGAGGAACGGCAAGCGACTGGAAACATTGAACTGTCCTTCTCTTTGTTTAAAACCCTTTCAGCTTACTGCACTTAAAAACCTGGAAGTGTGTCTTCCCTTTTTGTATTCGCGAGCCAAGAGTGCGAGAGCAGTATGAAAAGACTTAATTCTTCTCGAAGCAAGACGACAATCATGTTGCAGGAAATTTGCAAGGGACAGAGAGGGGGACGAGAGAGAGCGAGAGACAAGAGACAAGAGAAAGGAAATTAAATGGAAAATGAAGTGAATTGGAGGGAAAGATGCAAGGGAGGGGATTTGAATGAAGGACAATCTCTCAAGACTTTCTCTGCTCAATTGAAATCCCTCCTATGTTGTATTTACCCCGAGAGAATCCATGATTCACTTTCATTTGTCGCGACGGTCGTTTTGAATTGAGACATTTCCTGCTGTCCTTTTTCTACGTCTCACCGACTACAGCAGTGTTCTAACGCTTATCAAGAGACTAATGGCTGCGCTCTGTGAGTGACCATGCGAGGGCTTACATTCCTGCGTCCGGCCTGCGCGGTGACCTTCAAATGCACCTTCGAGTCCTGACAAGTGCACTCCGAACGACATCCGTCAAAAGTAACGGATGCGCGTCGCGGCTCAGCCCTTATGAACCACCTTTTTTTTTCACCACTGTAGAAAGAAACGGCCACTTGCATTCAGCCGGCGGCGGCGGCGGGACGCTTAATTCCCGACTGGAGCCGAACATGAAGACATTAGGAGAATGTAGCCGAACGGCCAGCGCTGCGACGGCTGTGGATGTCTCAATAAGTGCTTTATAAGTGCGTGTGTGTATGGCGAAGGGCTGGAACCTGCACTGCCAAGAAGGAAACAAGCCCTCCTACACAACGACACGCTCTCATTCCTCTGAATGCCAACCATCCTGGACACCATGAACCCCCGCCCTCTCCCCCTCCATCCCTCCCTCTTGCCCAGAGACTGACCCGGGGCTACTGTGGACTTAAACAGAGGAAGAGCACCCTAAAAAACATACCAACACACACACAAAACACAGTGTTGACAGACAAACTGCTGGCTCCAGGCTGGACGCGGCAAACAAAGGTATTGTTCCCTTAAATGAAATTCCCGTGAACGACAATGCACAATTTAGCCTTTTGGCTGCTCAGCGTTGTCTTTGAGAATTATTTAGCCCATTAATCCGTCTGCTTAACGCATCACTAAAAGAAAAAGGACGTTTTGTATTAGATGAGGAGAGAAGTAACAATAACAATACAATCTTCTAGCTGTACCTGAAATAAAACTAGGATGTGTGCATGACCAAATACAGTTAGTTTAATACAGATCACAGCATACTGCCCGTAGAGAGAAATCAAACACCAGAGCGAGTTTCCTAGCTGCCCGTGATTTGTCTCCTTTGTCCCGCCGTCCACATGTTGAGACGATGCCTCACATTTTCATGTGGGTGTAGTTTTGAAAAGTCAAACCACTGCAGGACAGATGCTTTCTGGCGATTCACAAGAAGGTTGCAACCTATGCAAATTTTAAACTTTAGATTCCTTTTAGGCCCACTCCATTGAGTTAATGTGGGGTTTCGGGGAATTTGCATTGAAACGAAATGCATTTGCGAAGTCCTTCACGCGCAGCAAAAGCCGAAGCTGTAACCTGTGGAGTCGATTGGATGCTACTGAATCAGAGGAGATAATAGACATGTTTTAAGTTAGATGTCAACATCTTAGGCTGCAGCATTGTTAACTTGTCTGCCGTTGTCCAACCCAAACAAGGTATTTCATCGTTTCGGACCCTTATAACTGTTTCCAATCAGACTGTATCTGTTACGCTTGATGCAGTATGTCACATTTTGCAGTAGGTTTAGCAGCTATGCAGCCCGACAGAGCCGGTTGCATGTAAACTCCTACGCTTGTTACATCATATGTTCGCCCTGTTTGACCAGACTCCTTCTCATCAAAAGCTGTCCTCGCACAAACTTCTGTCAAAGTCTTGAGGGGACAGGTGCATCACAAACTTTCATGGCAAACGATAAGAAAAGCAACCGCACTGCCTGAGGCCGGCAACTACAAGATTTAATAACGCAGAAAACGTTTCAATTTGACAAGGATCAAAATAAGTTGACCGTAGGAAGACCTTAGTCAGGAATGTCTGTTTGATAACAACGTTCTGCTTGCAGGAGTCAGACAGTCAGCAGCACCAGTTCATTCCAACCTTCTACTTCTGATAAATGGAAACCAAATATTTTTTAGTTGCTATAAATTCTAATATACCCTTTTATGTTGTTTCCCATTCACCCATTCTGGGGGGTATAATGAGGTATTAGTATGAAGTATTAGAATAAATTATCCAATGCACCAAAAGCCCAGAAAGTGCTCCATGGTGATAATAGATTAAAATCTTTAAAATACAGTGAACACCCCTTGCATATGTGTGTTGTTGCTAAATTAACATTGTTTCTTGCTCTTTCTGTGCTTTGTCCATCAGAGGTGCATTTTTGGTTTTTGGGACGTATCCGTCGGGACCAGAGGAGCACAGCAAGAAAGAAGGGGAGGACAAAAAAAACGTATTTTGCTCCCACTGTGTACAGAGTGCTGAGAGAGATGTAGAATATCAAAAATGATCCCACGGTTGAAGAGGTACTCGACCATCAGCACTCCATCTTTACGTTGCATGATCCTCTGCAAGTGGACTGCACATCTTTCATATGATCATCCTTGTACAAGTTCAGCATTTCGATCGGCCCTGTTTGGACTTTTACAGACACTAATGTTGTGGAACAATGAGGCTCTCTTATGTGTATGTCTGATTTTGTGGTTCGAGGGTTGTACAGGAATCCATGGCTTACTTTTCTGTGCCTCCTCACCCATTGGATAAGCCAAAGTAGACTGCAGTTGCTTTTGTTCTTGTTGAAAAACTTTGATTTTATTTGATTCCAGATGTATATTTAAGTCTCAGCTGTCCGTCCACTTTGCTACACTGAGCTGATGTCTGCGAGCTCAGCATATTTTCTCTTTAGCTACATTTTCCCTTCTCCCTCAAACGGGAGATGGGCTCGTGTTTTCTTCCCGTCTATGTCAGTAGTGACCTGCTGGACCCAATTCTTTATCCCCTCACTTAATCAAATGCTGAGTAATGTACCAAAACGTCAAACATTGCTTAATTTGTCAGCTCCGGAAAAACCAAATATGTATCTGTTAAGTGCAGATCAGTGATAGAATGTGCCCACTTTATATTATTACATCCCCTAAAGTATTGAGCTTAAAAGATGTTATCTCTTTACACTGGTACTTGGTTGTATCTCATCAAATATCTCCCTTTTACGATTAGGCATTTTATTTAATACAACATGTTGCAGAGAAATAAAAGGTGAAGGAAAACAGGTATCAAGCTGGAAAAGAAATGCATGTGTAATGTAGTTTGTGCGCATTTTTTCATTTCTTACACATTTGTTTGCTCATAATATTCTCTCTCACACATGGCTTTAAGTTCTGCTGTTTCGAGCAATATTTTGTGTATTGTAACATTAACCTGATTTCATTTTGTCCCATTTTTGCTTGTCTGTTATTGATCTTTTTTGTTGTTCTAAAAATATGTTAAGTAACTTATTTCACTTGTACAAATGTGTTGATATTTATTATCATTGTACATATGTCCTTATTTTTTATATGTGTACATATACACAAATAAAAATAGAGATATACTCATGGTATGGGATTTTGTTTGTTCAAGAGGCAACATACTAATTATCACCATAATGGTCAGTTCACTAATCATATAAATTGCTACTTATCCTTTGAAAACCGTAGTAAAATGTTTTCTGTGGCACCGGGGAAGCTTTGTAAAGTTGTAGAAAATTCCCCCGATGATGTCATTGTAATGTCATTAGAGTTATCCCGGCTTGAATTCAAGCATCGTTAATTGTCATCATGCGACACAAGGACCCACAACAAAAATCAGTTGTAGCCCATTTGTAACATGACGAACACAAGACGAAACCAAACAAATGCACTAGTGTGTTCCTGCCATGCATTTTATTTTATCCGCATAATAACGAAAGTTAACAGCAGCAACCATAAAAGAATTACCTCGGCAGATAACACGGCCGACATCTTCTCATGGGTCATGGGTCATGACCGAAAGAACTAGGTCACGGCCGAAATGGGTTTCCTCAGGAGAGTGGCTGGCGTCTCCCTTAGAGATAGGGTGAGAAGCTCGGAGTAGAGCCGCTGCTCCTTTGCGTCGAAAGGAGCCAGTTGAGGTGGTTTGGGCATCTGGTGAGGATGCCCCCTGGGCGCCTCCCTAGGGAGGTGTTCCAGGCACGGCCAGCTGGGAAGAGGCTCCGGGGAAGACCCAGGACTAGGTGGAGAGATTATATCTCTGCACTGGCCTGGGAACACCTTGGGATCCCCGAGTCAGAGCTGGTAGATGTGGCCCGGGAAAGGGAAGTTTGGGGTCCCCTGCTGGAGCTGTTGCCCCCGCGACCCGACCCCGGATAAGCGGTTGAAAATGGATGGATGGATGGATTCTCATTAGCAAACATTGTCCATCAACTCTGACTGTGTTTGAGCATCGTGATGTAAAGACACAGTCTGCCTCTCATCCCGCCGGAGTCCGCCTATCGAGCGCAGCTTCATCAGGAATGAACAATAGAGAAAGGTCTGAAAATGAAAGTGTGTACTAAACAGTCATCCGCCTCCCACTGAGGTCTTATGTCATCCATCTTTTTCTTCTACCTTGGACATCATGCAGCCAGCAGTAGGCCGGGTGGTGCCTTAGGTCCTAGCTGGGTTTATTTAGCTTACCATCTTGTCTTTCCAATAGTTGGAACCTTCCATTACATATGCTGGGTGCACATAGTTCATCCCAGGAAATAAAGATCTTGGGATGCATTATGGGTGATCTTATCTTGTCCCTCGCTGATTCAATTTTCACCGTTCATTTCTTCTCATTTTAATCATGTCCCCAAAATTTGAGAAGAAGACCACAGGACTTCTTGAACATGCACAACGTGTAGGAAGCCACGGTAGGCCTACTTGCACAGTGTTGGTTGGGTCCAAATATATGTGCATGCACATATTTGTTTTAAAGAAGAGATAAAGTAACAAATCACAAAATGGTGTGAAAATGATCTTTACTTATTTTCATGATAACTGCTTGCTACATAAGACACAAGAGTGCAGGCAAGTGAAATAAACAGCTGTAAGTGCTGATTTGGGTGCCGCTCATGGTGGTGGTAGTGAAATACAAAAAAGGACAAATAACAAGCCGTAACATTTAAAATGCCCCCAATTCCTATATCTCAAATGAAGTAATATATTGTGACAATATCAACCCTAATGATGGCGGCCGTTAATTGAAATCAAAGTTGAAGAGAGCTCAAACCAACACATTTGGAACAAGGTGAGTGGTGTTAATGTGTACTTCTACCCCTTAAATGAAGTTATCCTGAAGGATCATTTGAAATATAGCTAATGTAACAATACCACGGTATTGAAGCGTAATGATAATGTACATTTGAAAGTTTGAAAAGCCTATACAGAAACCTCATAACTCACAATTGAGAATGTAAAGACTGTTAATGCATGCTAAGCAATGTATCAATATGTATCATTGGGTTGGTCATTTTTATTCAACAAGACTTTTACCTTATTTAAATTTTAGACATCTCCTTTTGGGCAGGGACTCATTCACTCAGGCTTATTTCACCTGTGAATGTCTAGACTTGTTTTATTTGCCCAGCCTGTTGCCGCACATGAACATCCTCCGTCGATTGAAGAAGCCACATGCTTCATGTGGTCCCCAGTCCCAGCTGTGGGAAGAGGCCCACGGTTGCATCTGATCTCAGTGTACTCAGCTGTGCCACAAAACCTTCCCAAAGAAGGAACTCTGTTTGCTTGTGACTGGCGTGCGTGGGCAGGCTTTGCAGAGCTTTCCAAGACTAGACCACAAATTCTCCCAACTGTTTGGGCTTATTGATTGATGGATTTTTGAGTTTGCTTTAAATTATTTCAAACTATTATATTAACCAAATGAAAATACTGTCACATAAGGCTGATTACATTATCATCACAAACTACAGCTCGATTAAGTCTGTTGAAACTAGAACCTCCAGCAAGAAAATTCTGATAGCTACTTCTATCTGTCTGTCTGTCTGTCTATCTATCTATTCATTCATTCATTCATTCATTCATTCATCCAACCAGGCTGCCTGTCTGCCTGCCTGGTCTTTCCGGGGCCACGTGGTATCTTACCGGAATTTCTATTGGCCAATTCATATTAAACGAGTTCCGTTCTCTTTCAAATACGGAAGTTAGTTCCTCCAAACGATACCGTTCCTGTGTTAGTATCGGCATTATTTTGAACGATTCGTGTCGTTTCACTCGTCGTTGAAACGTTTTGAAACGAGACAAAATAATGCATGGCGTATTTTGAAATCGTCTAGGTGTTTGTTTGGAAACGTTGAGTTTTTTCGCGGAGGGATCCATACGTCACCGCCGGCTCTGGCACGGAGCGTAATTTGAATCTTTGTCTCCCTCCCTCTCTAACGTTTGTGTTGATTAACGTTAGCTTGAAACGATGAACGTTGTTTGGCCGTGATAGTCGGCCATAACAAAGTTACCTCTCTGGCAATGTGTTCACGTTCACCTTAGTTGTTACACTGTTGTTAAACCGTACTATTCTGGTCCTTATTCATTCTGTAAGGGCCCTTCAGGGGAGTCTTAGCGGTGACCTAGCTATCGCTAACTTGTGCTACTGGGGATGATGCTAACTCTACTAGCGTGCTGCTAAAGTCAGCGAAACGTCACTTTGACAACTTTAAGTTGACGGCAAAGTGTGACGTAAGTAATATAGCCTGCTGACATTCCGTATTAGGTTTAGACCGATTGTTACAACAAGTGTAAACTAAACGAAGGTGAGTTGACTCGGTCATTGGCTCCCTGTTGTCTTTCACGTTAGCGACTCGTTACATGTTCCTGTGGTTAAGATGCTCTCGAGTTATTCGATGTTCCCTCATTCAAGTTAATTGTCTACACAGATGGCTACCGCGGAGATGAACGCCGAGGGAAATCAGGCCGATGACCTGTTGTCCCCATCAGAAGAGGACTCTCCTCCGGTTTTAAATGACACCTCGGCCCCCTTGAATTTCTCCGAGCTCACACCTCGTGAGTTCGGCATCTCTGTGAAGAGCTTCACCCCAGCGTCATTATCAAATGGCAAAGGTGAGAAGACTCTATAATGCAGTTGCATTTGCTTTCCGTTGACATAAGTATTTACTTTGCATTCATACCGCTTTGTTCAGCCGGTGTACTTTAGGGTCCGTCGTAATCGGCATCATTTGGCATTTAAAACCTATCCGAAAAGTAAACATGTGTTAAATCTGCGTCCAACCAAAAGCCGTCATCAGCACAACAAATGCATGATATAAGAGGCCGGAAAACTTGCAGGGGAAGTTTGTATTTGGCCATTTTTCTACTGAAGATGCATTCTCCTTCCTCTTGTTGCAGATAAATTTCGTCTAGCACAAATAAAGTCACGGCGGAAGTCCAGCATTGGTGCCCGCGGCTCCCCAGAGACCAACTCCCTCATCCGCTTCATGGCGCAACAGAGGATGAAGACCTCCTCTACCTTCCAAACTCTGGAGGTGAGATCCTTCACGGGATCCATTTGAGCATTTTCTGCATAGTTGCACAGTTGTTCCATCCTTTTTTAAGTGTGAGGCCGTATGCAGGCTTTCGGTTGGCGCTGTGTGATCAATATGAAACGTACAGCATACTGTACTTGAGGATGAGGCACACCGTAGGCAAATATATTTCTTTCTAATGTCCATTGTCAAATGCAAACGAGGACTGCCATCGCTGCACTTATGTCTACTGTATACGTTCACATACGGGCTTTCTGATCAATAGCATATCGGAGTCAATCTTATTGCGCATTTGGTGGCTTTCCAAGGACCAATTTAGGAGAGCCTGTTGTATTCGATAGTTGAATCTGTATCTCATTTGATCTTTGAAAGTAGCCTTCCCACATAATACAAATGAATAGACGGTATCACTCAAATCATTATGCATTTCATAAAAGCTGGTCTCTCCTTGGCTTCTTTTGTAATGGAAATATTAGTGTTGGTTCATATGTGCTGACTCCGTAATAACATCAATTTCAAAAAATGTTCTGCATTATTCTCTGCTCAATATGTCCCGAACCAAAGAATGCTTCAGTCTCCTTTAGTTGGACTAACAAGAGACGAACAAGCCTTTACTTCTTAATATTTTTATGCTGTTTCAGATTTCATCAAAATATATTCTTAGTCATGATCATTTGAGAAACATTCCATGCTTTTCATCATGCATATACATTTTACTGACTACTGGACAAAAATGAATGGGATGGGATGTTGAGGACCAATGAAGGAGCAGAGGGGGGCATTGAGCAGCCAATGGCACGAGTCCGCTCTCTTGCACCAATGGGTTGTGCAAAGGGTTCAAATGGCAGCTCTGCATTCGTATGTGGAATACAGTGAGCATATTATGATAGTAGATTGCATCATGCTGCAGAGGTGGTTTAAGAAGTTTCTCTGGACTTTTGGCATTTTCTACTATCGAGAGAACTACAAATTCTCAAGTCTGCAGGTGATGAGTATGTCATTTAAAAGGATGCGTTTTGTGTAAAATGTATTCCTAATCTTGTCTAAATAGTAATGACTGATTAATCCGAAGCATGAGACCTGCTGTTAGATGATGCACAGTCGATTTGTAAAAGTAATATCCCCATATTGTGTGTGTTTGTGTGTGTGTGAGCAGTTTGTGTTAGACGTCCTGCCTCTCAGTGATTCTGTCATTTCAAAAGCCTTTAGCCTGTCAAGCTGCATCACTGAGCAGATATGTTTGTTTGTGCTCTCTCAACCCTCAGCTGGTCAGAAGTAGCCCCTTCCTTCCCCGGGTCGCTTCCACGCTGAGGCAGAAGATGGCCTCCTTCCAGAGCCTGATGGATGTGGAAGAGAGTGGGGTCTGTGATCCGATGCCAGGGCAGGACAGCAACACTGGAGGATGCATCAAGACAAGAGATTATCTGTCTGGTGAGGCCGCCTCCGTGCCACAAGATTAATAGTTTTGTTTCTTAACAAAGGAGATATGCCAGTGAGATTTCTTTGTGATGTCTGGAGGCACCGTTCGCTGTAGATTGATGCACAGTATGAGTACATTCTTCTGAGCTTCTAAAATGGGCCGGTTTCTGAGGGCTTTGTTGCTGCGGTGAAAGTTTATCTCCATCGCTTTGATCAAGTTTTTTTCTTTTCTTCCAAAAGTTGTTTTTCATGCAGTGCCTTTATGATCTGTTTATTTGATATGAGATCTTTAATCTCACTTTAACCGAGGGGTCCCAAAGTCCCATTTGTTTTTGTATGTTTATATAACTTTTCGATGGGTGTTTTTTTTTTTCCCTCCGTCAGATAGGAACAGCCATCATGGAGGAAAGGAGAACCACCCACCAACGATGACGCCAATGCCCAGCAAGCGGGGGCGCCTGGCCCCAATCGACGGCTGTGAGGTGGAGATTAGAGAGGCCAGCGCTCCTATCCTCCACGTGAGTTTCAACAAGCAGGAGGTACACTTTCTCTGACCATGTACTTCCGTGACTGCTCTTAATAATTGAACTAAATGTACTATGTACTTGCCATCCGGTGCATCCTTTCCTATTCTTATTTTTAACTCCTCTATGAATGTTGGATCTCTGTGCTACAGGACTTTTTAAATGCACGCATTCAAAATAGGAGGAAACCTCTCATGCGACCCAAGTTTCATTTAAGTGCTGCATATTGAGGTTTATTTATTTATAATGACATCTTTTTGTTTTTCTTTTGACTGAGAGCTTCTACTTGTTTTCCGGGAAATGCAATGTCCAGTTTGAAGACTTTAGTCTTGTTTGAAAAAGCTGTTTGTTAAAAAATCCTTTCCTGTATCCCTGGTAGTAGTGTTCTTGCTCCCGTGCTGTGTAGCAGAATAAAACGGTGGGATTTCCTTGATCACATCTGCAGGAAGAAGAAGAAGCAGTGAAGCAGGTTGTGACCCGAGGACCGCTGCCATCCAGTGAGCTTGTGGAAGAGGACCAAGCTGTGCTCATAACCCCGACCCTTCACACCGACCTTGAGCTCCACACTTGTTCCCCTGCTATGGACGAGCAGGTCGGGTGCAGACACACACACGCACACGTGCACACAGAAGTAGTGAGTGGATCACATGAGAAATTCGTGTGGACTTTTGGGATTCTGCTATGACTGAAATGCCTTCTCGTTGTGATGATGTGAGCACCAGAATGACTAACACTTCACACGGAAAACACCGTTAGAACCAGGTGACCTGTGAAAAGGCAGATTTGAATTGACACCAAAACCAATTTCCGTAAGAAATCAAGTCAATTTTTAGGTTTGTAAGTGTGAGAACACCTCCGTCTCAAACATGGCGCCATCACATGCATCTTAACTGCAGCCACATAACAGAAAGCAGCCTTTTTAGAAATGTTATAAAATGCCACTTCCAAGTTCTTGTTTTTTCTACCTCAGCACTCATCATCTTACTTCCATTTGAGGAAAAAACACTCTACTTTCCTATTTGCTGGTTCACAGCTTTTTATGAACCGTAGCTGTTGTGTAAAGCTACTGCTAATGCTAACTGTGCATTTCTACATGGATCAATTCCAGCTATTATGAATGCCGTTTTTGCCACTTTGATCAGTGCTGATGGTTCAGGTATAAAATCTAGTAATAGAAGGGGAACCTACAGTGAGTTTATTAGATGAAACTGAACCTGCATTAACGGTAACTCGTGTTGAACCACCAGCTCTGTGAAGCCCCTTGAACTCCACTCTTAACAGAACGGGGGGCTCATATGAACCCTCTCAACAGGACGATCTCTTTGAACTTGAAAGCCTCGGCCGACCACCACCCGATGATTGTGCGGCCGCTCCACCAGCGGGGGCGGCCTCCCTCTTCCACATCGCCGCTTTTCCTTCTCTGTTGGCGATGAAGCCCGCAGGTAAACACACAGTGCTCTCTGTGGCCGTGCAAGAGCTACTGACCTTTTATCTCGCTTCAGCCCTGCTAAGGCTGCTGTAGAGCGGTCGCTTGGTGCACTGTATCCAGGCTGAACACCAGGAGATAGAGTTACCCTTATTTTAGGAAGACACAAGAAATCATGTGTTTTAGCTGCGAGGGGAGTGTTGGTCCAAACAAAAAAGACCAACATGGGAGAATTTTCTGTTGTACAATAAGCTGCAACCTCTCAATTATTGGATAAATATTTACTGCATGATAATTAGTATCGTTAAATTGTACATGCAGTATATTAAAACCTCCAAGTTGAGCTATAAAAGTTGTGTAAATCATATCTCCTCATGCATTTGTTTCTAGTTTAATTTTCTTCTGCTATTTGCTTGTCTAACTGGCCGAGCAGTATCTTCAACTTGAGCCATAAATGTATTGATAGCCATAGTCTTCCATTGTGTAATGAGGGTCTGACCAATGTAAACGATTGAAGGGTTGCCCGTCTTTGCAGGAGAAAAGAAAAAGAGCGTGCGCTTCGGAGGTCCGCTATCGCCTGAGTTCTTTGACAAGCACCTGCCTCCCAGCACGCCGTTGAAGAAGGGGGGCACGCCGGGCCGAGCGGCCACGCCGTGTGGGAGCTTCCAGCTGTGCTCGGTGCTGAAGACGCCACAGAGGAGTGAACCACGAACAACAACAACACAGGCACGGCTGGACCTCAGCGGCCTCGACATGTTCGGGGCGTCGCCGACCCTCGCGATGCCTCGCAACCGCAGCGTGGCGTCAGCAGGAGAGGATGACAAGGACAGCGACGGAGGCAGAACGGTAATGTTTCTTAAATAACCATGAACCAATGTCAAATAAGGGTCAACACAGGGTTAATAAACAGTATTATTCATGGTCCTAGTTAGTGTGTCGCACCATGCCCAAAATCAGGGCCATGATTAATGTTATTAATTACTCGTTTACCCGGCAATGACATGTTGCAAGGGCTGCTGGGGGACAAAAGTCTAATTTGCTCTCAGATGCAAACGTCCAATGTTTTCACAAGCATCTGGTCTTCTGTTCATTGGTGCGTGTGAAAGTAATATGATTCTTTAGTATTCTTTTAGATTATACCTGGAGGCATTTCTGAAATGAGGTATCTTGTTTAGTAATTGTATGTTTCCTCCAGAATATGGCAAACTGTTCACTACACTAAGTGTGTACCACATTCAGCATTGTGTTTTGGTTCTTTGTTCTCGTAGATTGCATTCCCTTTGATGGAGGAGATTGACTCTGCAGAGACGGGAGACACAGGTTGATTATTATTATACTTTGTTTGACCTGACAGTTATAGCCTATTGTCTCCCGTAGAATGCAGTTGGACTCTGTAGTGCTAACCGCTCTTAAAATTTATTGACTTTTCAGAATACACGTTGGAAAACCAGCCAGTGAATTTAAACGCTGCTTTCCACGAGGAGTTTCTTTCTCAGATTCTGACAGGTGAAATACCATCATGCTTGCACATTTTTTTCCTTTCATTTTCACTTAACTTTGTCTTCATCTCATGTGCTCCCGTTTCCTGACCGAATCGAGAGTGTCAAGATACAACTGGAATGGAATTTAGGTTTAAGTGGAGCTCAAACAACTCAAGTTTCCCAATTATAATTGAGTGTGGGGAAGTGCAAAAAACGGACATATTGAACCACGGCAACAGGACCTTTGTCATTTGGATTCAGCAATATTAAACCAATGTCTGTGTTGGTTATCAATAACCATGACAGACAGCGGACAGTCCTTCAATAGATGTAATTTCAGCCATAATATTGTGCGTTTTTCATCAGAGTCTGAGACCAGTCCCAGCACAATCTCCCCGGCGGATTCCCTGGATGAGCCGGCGCCCTTTCTAGAGAAGGAAAACCATCATGAAGCCGCTGTGGAAGCTCCGGTGGAAGCTCCGGCCAGATCGAGAAACCAAAGGAAAAAGGTCTGCCATCATTAAAGCTCATGTCTTCGGATCCACTTCTATAGGATAGGTCATTGTGGGTTCACAAGATCTAGTGTTACAACGTTGCTGCACATTTTATTCCATTCATAACCAGATTATTACCTTCCTCGATAGATTCCCCTACTGTGAATAATTCATTTCATAAACTGAGATTTCATAATCTCCCCTGCTGCAGCATCCAGGACCAGAGCAGGCGGCTCGCAGTGAGCCTCCAGCTGGTTGCGCCGGTCGAAAGAGAAAGGTCTGCTACCACCATTAGCTCGTGCAAATTTCTATTTACACGCCATGTCTTTTTTTTAATAATTTGGGGGTCATAACATGCTCCAATTTAATCTGCTGTTTAATTCCTCTGGATTTCAACGAAATCACATCCGAGGGACATCAACTTTGTGTTTGCAAGTGTGGCGATCATTCAGTGTCTCCATCTCCATGCCAACTGTGTGTTCCCACCAGCTGCCCGAGGAGAGTGAACCTGTGAAGAGGTCGACGCGCTCCGCTGCCAAGGCGGCCTCTGGGAGGATTAAGGTGAGTTGGCTGAGTTTGCTCGCTTTGATTTCTCTTTACTCTGCTCCATTGAGGCATCTGCAGACATGTTATTTCTGGCAGGCAGAAAGAAAAGTCCCAGAGCTGATAGCAATCTGACTGCATCTTACCTTGCCCGAGTTGGGGAGAACTATGTATACAATGTGTGTGGGCCCCCCCTCCCTCCCTTTTGAGTGCGGCAAATGGAAAGTCAGATTTGTGCCTCTTACTAACCACAGTATGTATCCAGTACTGCAGGTAGTTTGTTATTAGCGATAAATTCCCTTATTCCTCAGACGCCTTGTTGGCCTTGTAGTAGCGGTAGCTGGCCTTTCTGTAGCTCGCGTTGCAGCAGGGCCGCTGCAGAGCTTGTTGTGTGTTCTTTGTAGTTGTTTTCCCGCTGGTCCCCAGGCAGGGCCGTGTTTCAGTGTGAATTTGATTTTATTCGCCATTTCAGACCCCAGATGCGGGTGAAAGTTTAATTAAAGAGGTGTGTAAATACTCTTGAGATCCGCGGTAAAACAGAAGGTGTCACTTACACAGAACCTTTGTAATCCGAGGACGACCCCAATGGGAATCAATTCCCTCTGAAAACGAAAGGGTGCGTCTCGTAAAGGCCTGGCTCTGTACATAATACATTTGGACACGATCAAGTGGAGTAGGCTCATTCTGCCTTCTGCTCCTTTTAGACAGGTACATTTTTTAATGATGTATTTATGATGATGGATTCAAATATACGCAGCTTCTGACATGGCGCCTACACGGTCCTCCACAGAAAGCCTCCATGCAAACAATCCCATTATCATTGATGTACTTATCGAGGATGACGTAGTGAGGCGCTATCACATTTCAGTCTACGCTCACACGTCAATACCAACCTCCCCGACGATGCCGGTTCTCTTTCCGCAGACGAACTCTGCAGCGAAGTGGCGGTGGAACAAGGACGTGGACCGCTCCCTGTACGGCTCCCGGGCCTACGCCTCCAAGAACCCCAACCTGAGCCCCATCACTGAGAGGTTGCCCCTCCTCCAGTCTCAGGCAGCACAGCAAATCCCCTGTGAGAGTTGCACAAGTGTGTGTGTGTGTGTGTGTGTGTGTGTGTGTGTGTGTGTGTGTGTGTGTTCACTTTACACAGTGTAAGGGCAGAAATGATCGGTAGAAATGAATATCCCTGTTTTCGTTTTCTTCATCTCACCCTTACAGCCCCAAATCATGAGACCGGCTCGAACCCTCAAAGTGCCGACGACCCTCCAGCAACAGACGACCTCCCTGCAACAAACGCTTTGGAGAAGCTCTCCGGCGATCCGGTCACATCCCCCAACTCCAGTAAAAAACAACCGCTGAGGAAAGGAAGGAGGCAGTCGGGGCCGAGGGTCAAACGGAATGGAGCGAAGAAGAGGAGGGTTGCTGTCCCTAATGAGGCCCTGCGCGGGGAGGAGAGCCTAGATCAGACTGGCAGAAGCACCGAGGAGCTCTGTGAGGAGCAGACCACCACCGACCCCGACGCGTCGAGCGGAACCCCGCTGACCCGCTCCGAACCGGAGCAGGGAAAGGTCGACGCCGAACACGATGCCGTGATTCCTGCAGAGACACTCGGCGCCGACTGCCCGGGTTCAGGTGCAGAGTCGGACAACACTTTGAGTCAGTCGGGGCGGAGAACGCCGCGCCGGGGCTCCGTCGACGCCGCGGCGCTACGGGAGCGGGAGAACAGGGCGGAGGCGGAGCAGGGAGAGCAGGCAGCGAGCCGGCAGGAGAACCTCCAGTCGAGCTCCGGTGGTCAGGAAGGGACGGGCGTCGCTGATTTCCACCTCGCCCCCTGGCAGGCCGACTTTAATTTTGAAGACGTGTTCAAACCGGTGCCCGCCAGACTGCAACGCTCGGTGCGCCGCAGTCTGAGGAACCGGAGCGCCGCCGAGCAAGGCGTCGGCGACGGCAGCGCCGGGAACAGCAGTGTGGGCCTCGCTTGGCTGGCATGGACCTCCCCCGACTCCAATAAAGAGTCCCGCCGGAAAACCCGGGGCCGGCGGCTCAGTGCTGCTCCAGCCGTCCTACCGGCCCTCCCCGAGGGAAACGCCGCCTCGTGAGACTTTACATGCACTAATAACAAAGCGGGATAGCCAACACGTACACACACACACACGTTACTCCTTCATACATACTGATGCTGTTTGTTTCAGATTAGCTGAAACCATTTCCCAAAGAGCCGGCGGATCGTTTTGTGTTCCCTTGAACATCGATGCCTTTGTTCCCTTTGAATTATTAGAGCTGACCAGTCATTTGTAGCCAGTCAATAACCCTTGAGCCCAATCATCTCCGCTGACCCCCCCCCCTCCCCTCCCGATCGATGCCCGAGCACTCAGCTGGTGATCGCACTGCATGTCGAGACTCACTCTCCAGAGTCGTCGGCTCAAGCAGCTCCGAGTCGATATCTACGATTGCAGATAGACGAAGACATCCACCATCTGTCATGCAAGACGCAGCAGGAGGAAGGAATAATAATGATGGGATAGTAATTGGAGGGGGCGTGGGGGGGGAGTGATTGTCTTAAACATACAAAAATCTAATTAATACGCTCAAACAATTCTGTTTATTTGTGGCTACTGGAGTGGGGTTCGTTTTGTTTGTTTACCACCCCAGATCTAAAACCTTGACATACAGGTAAATGTCCAGAAGAGGTCCCCATCCCATTGCATCATCTGATGTTTTAATTGAATTGCTTTTAAAATGTGAAGGAGATTGAAATTGTTTTACACGTTGTTTTATACCGACATAAATCAGTTCTTGTGTTCACTGTGACTTCCCTGGAATGTCAAGATGTACCTTGCTGTTCTTATACTGATTAAATGCCTTGGTTCCCAGTAAAAGACCTATCATTTGATCAAATTGTGTTCATTTCAAACGGATGATTTCAGCTCATTAAAAAGAAATTCAACAGGGTAATAAAAAGGGCTACAATCCCCACACGCGTGCTATTCCAGCTGTGTGGTCGGTTCGGTTCTGGTTTACGGCAGCTTTTTTCCCCCCTTCACATAAACCGCGACCTTTGGCCGTAAACGGAGGCGTCGCTCCATAAATTACCATCCTGGTCTACATTTAGCACACAGCCAAATGTCTGCAAGTGAAAGGACCTCTGACCCCCGAATCCAGCAGTCAAGAGATGGAAATCAGCCGCTTCTCACTGGTTCCATCCGCCTGTCAGAGAAGCGGAGGCAACGCCAACACAACGAGTTTCAAACTGCTCACATTGGAAAACGGGCCACCGCAGTGATGCGCGGCCGTAATCCATCCGTCACAGTGTCATCAATATTTTTTTTTACATCCAGACACTTGGCTGAAGGACAACGGGAGGTTTTCTGAAGTACTAAAATCTGAAGGATGAGGATGAATCTGAATGGTCGTCGTCACCACTTTGCCTCCTCAGGCTGATGCCGTGGGGCTCCTCTGCCCCCTGCTGGAGGAGCCGAGGCGTTGCAGCCCCTCGGCCATTTCAACATTCGTCAAGTTCACATCTGTGAGGAGATCAGAGACTGCTGCCATCGTGAGGAGAGCGAATCATTTGGTAAAAGCATCGTCATTTCATTTCTCCACAGCGGCCATTTGTCTCAACGCACAGTCTGATTTTACGACCTGTAACTTCCTGACTGGGCTTTTTTTTCTTTTTGTGAGTCCACAGTTAAGCTGCTGCACCTCTATACGAGGTGTGTGTGTGTGTGTGTGTGTGTGTGTGTGTGTGTGTGTGTGTGAGTGAGTGTGAGGGGGGTGTGAAGCCCCCTTCCCTGGCAGACGGGCATAGTGAAGACGGCTTAACACAAGAACAATGGGGTCCTTTGACCAAAACGACGCCCCCAAGACATGCAGGCCTCCTGTCACCGTGGCAACCCCCCCTGGGACGGGGAGCGGGGCTGACAGCTGGAGAGGAGGACTTACTAAAATGGAGTCCATTTCTTTCCACTGAAGCCGCCCCGCTCTACATGTTTCCCCCGTCTTCCTCCATTCGGGGGCCCTTTTATGAATGTGGGTTTACGTCTCATTTTACAACTTCATGTGATTGACCTCACGGGCTCCACTCGCCACCGGCGGCCCGTCAAACCCTTCCACGCGCGAACAAAAGTTGGCGATAAATCCCGGGCCCTCGTGGGCCCTGGTTGCCGCCGGTAATAAGAGGGAGCATTGATCTCATTGACAAATACAGGCCTGAGCCACACGATTTCACACTCGCTGTGGGCCTCGTTGGAAAACGGATGAGCTCCCTCTGCACAGACACAAAGCGCCGTAATCAGTCACTTGTCCTCCCCGGTTTGGAGACTTTGGTCTTTCAATTAGTTAATTAGTAGCTGAATGGTATTAAGTTGTCCCACCGTCTCATTCTTTTCTGTGCTCGATGCCGGCAGCCCCCCCCCCTTTTTTTTATTTTTTTTTCCTCCATTATTGATGCTCTGAGGTTCTCGCTCTGCAGGCCCCGCGCAGCTCTCCCATGGAGCAAAAGACGGCGGGAGGAGGGCAAAGGAAACAAAGGCGGGACAACAACAGCGGATCCTCTGGCTCCTCTCGGCTCGGTCTTTCTGTCTCAGCGTGTGTGCTTTGCCACAGCTGCGCCGCCGGCTCAGACCGGCTTCAAACAGCCGCCTCCCCGCACCCGGCCTTTCAAGGGTCCACTCAACGTACAGCGGCTTTTCAAACTATCATTGGTTAGCTCTGTGGTATAGGTGGGCAAATATCTAAATTCTCATGGAGAGGTGTCGTTCTTACTGCAGCAGAACATTGAACAACCTTTATTATTGAATGTTGGTGTTTTAATTTGAGCTACTGGCTTCACAGGACCTTCAACACAGGAACGTCAATGTAGGAATTTGCTGAAAGCACATCGAGGTGCTTTTCTTAAGCTTTAGTGGAAATGTTACATCGGTTAAACATCGATGCATCAATTGATGGTATTTATCTAAACTGTCGCACCATGTACCTGAGTGACAGCGAGATCCTCCTTGTGGCAGTGGCAAGTGGGTGGCAACTTTGTGGCAGGCAGCGGCAATCGCCAGTAAATCAGTCGGCGTCACGACGGCACGCTGGGTGGGAGGAGCCAATTTTTCCCAGAAACAACTGTTATTTGTACGACAGGTCAGCTGCTGTAAATATTTAATTTTATTTAATTTTATTTAATTTTATTTGAGACACGTGAGCCCCCGTCTTCTTATTACAGAGGCTAATTTTAGGTTTGGACCGGCGGGTTCCGTGTAGGGGGTGGGGCTCTCAAGTTTGATGCCACCCACTTGCCACTGCCACAAGGAGGATCTCGGCCTTACTGATGTACCTTCCAATCCACCTGCCACGGATTTAACCTGCAATACTTCTCATTTATATCACACGTTTAAATATGACAGAAAACAAAGAAAAATATCTCTTGTATCCTTTTAAGGACAACAAAGTGAGCCGTGCGACTGCCGTTGGTTTTCGTATGTGTCCGAATGCAAAGTGGCTTCTTTTTTTTCTTTTTTTTTTAATGCCTCATCTGTAAACACCGGAGGAGAAATACGACTAATCACGTCCCGCCCGTGTCAGGCAGCAGCGGGAGTTATGCTAAATAGGACTTCTGTGACACAGGTGCTAACAACACCGCTGGTGTTCCGGCTGCAACGCTGCAGATGAAAGAAGCCACCAATTGTCTCCACCACAATCTTGTGTGTTTTCACTTCTAAAAAACGATGCGCATATCGATGCGACGTGATCATTTGGACTATGATGTATTGTAGGACAGTTTGTAAGCGGACACATTCACCATAGACGAGAATACAGATGAGTGCATTAACTTGTGTTATCAATCCCATATTGTATGGTTGCACGGCGACATACCTGTGCAAATCTCCTCCGTGTCTGAGCGTGTCCCAACTCGATTCGGCCTTCACTGATACAATGTCGAAAACGGCCCATGAGGAAAAGCTATTAAGCCCCAACTCTCCAAGCGTATTCCATCTTGCTGGGAAACCCCAGACGGCGCAAAATAAATGAAGCCTTTGAGCCACCTAACACGCCTTTGCATTAACAGGAGGCATTTATTTCAGTTCATTCCTTTATTTCTCATAAATCAATAAGCTGTGAGTGTTAACTATCATAAGGATGAGAGAATTTGCAGTTTCTCTGCACAAGATATAAAGGGAACTTGATACTTCTCCCTGCATGAAGAATGTCCTGCTGAGTTAGAATCTGGTCTCGGTTCACGTTTTCCCCAAATTCAGAGGAGTTTCCATTCCCCAAAAACACGTGTACCCTCTGTCCGTGTTGCTAACCCTTTGTGTGAGCACCGTACTCGTCCATTGTACCGTTGACCCGACCAGGGTATTCGCCCTCCCTTCTGAATGGTGCATGCTGGGAAAGGTACCATGCCCACTCCCTCCCTGTATTCAGTAGACACGGCAGCGATGCGCTGCAGGTTTAGGCATAAATGCTCAATGAAGTCGGAACCCTGGAAATCTGAGGCATTCTCGTCCTTTGGCGAAGGTGTCGTCAGAGGAATCCCTGAAGGGAGGCTCCATCCTCAACCCTCCGTTCAACTGCTACGTCCTTCATGGAGCCGGAGGCAGCTGCTGCTGCTGCTCGCTCTGCAGAGGCACCTTAGAGATTTAGCTTAAGAAGAGCTATAAACTAAAGGAAGGTACTAATAATGATAGCGCTTATAACGTCCTTACGCCCAGCAGGTTGGACAGGAACAGAAGAAGGGGCATTTTGGTCCGTCCAGAGCTTGCCAATGGCTTTTTGGATGGATTGCAATGGAATTTGGTGCAGAAGTGAGAACTGATGCCTTTAGGATTTGACTTTTGGCTTTTTCAGTCAGTTTCAGTGCAGTGAGTGCTCTAATTTAAATTCACTTCTAGTGTATAAACCACAAATGGCTATTTTCATGGTTAGATGCCGTCGAGATAAGTTATGTTATGTTTTTTAATTGTATTTAATCATCTTGACTAATTGCCCCCCAGTCATGTTAGCGGTGTATGCATTCGCCTGTGGCTTCAGAACCCCTCGTCTCATCAGATAAGATAACGTTCCACCATTAAAGATGTAACAGTGACACCTGTACCACGCCCCCTTGCATTGTTTCATCACTAGCCTCCCGAGACGCATCTATGTTCCTTGTAACAAGACTCCCCCACCCTCCCTGCAGAAGATGCCCTCTCATCTGGTATTAAGGAGGCGGCGGTGGACGGCCCCTGCGTTGTCGTCCATTGGTCTTCACTTGGTCAAGTTATGGTAACCGGGAAAGACAAATGATTCATTCTGTCAAAATCGTCTCATCATTCAACGGACCTCTGCACCTGTAGGAGTCCCGTGCATTCAATGGGTTTCAGTACTGTGTTTATTCCTTTCATTAGTAACCCGTGGGTAGAAATCCCACCGTTTTGCTTTCATTCAAGATGTTAAAAATGTCAGAAAACTAGTGCAGTAGAAGCCACACTGGACAAGGCATATTCTTTCACATTTTCTTGGAATGAATCATAGATATGTATAATAAACACTGCACAAACAGCCCGTGAAACGCTAAAAAGTCAATTACATTATGCTGAGAGGAATAAAGAATTTGAAGTTCTGACCTCCACGCACACACGCAGGAAACACCCAGGATTTACAGGCACGACTGTGAAACTATTAGCACCTAACTGTGTATCAATCTACTCATTCAAGCCCCTCACACCTCCCCACCCCTCCCCCACGAGCCGGAGGTGACCTGATCAAGATCTGCGGCGGCTGGCCAGCTCCTCTTCGGGGGCAATTGGTCAGGCTGACATGTGTCAGCCATGATGAACGAGCAGGTGTTTGGTCTGCGTTAAGTAAATGGAGTCATTATTGATGACCTCACAGCTCCCTGTGTGTTGCCAGTATCAGTGATGA